TTATCAGTGTGTTTGTTAGTACTTTTGTTGTCACTGTTATTCATAAGAGATTTTAAGTATTTAGTTTGGGGATGTTACATGAAGATGTTTTAGTTCTAGAGCTGAACATTTCCACCGTGACAGTTTTGTAGCCAACATTTTTAATGGTCTCATTCATATAACTATTCTACAAGGTTTACAAACTGAAATGGTCTCTAGAAGCACATCTAACAATTTAAAAATCATCAACAGTTCAGAACTTTGGCAGTTTCATTCCAGTCTTTCACAGATTAACATGTTTTTTTTCATTATGATAGTTGACTCAAGGTCTGTGGAGACAAAAGCTACACACTACTGCTCCCTAATGACAGAGCAGTGTCCCTACATGCTTAAAAATAAAGGTGCTTCACGATGCCATAGAAGAACCTTTTTTGTCTAAATGGTTCCATAAAGAACCTTTAACTTCTGAAGAACCTTTCGGTTTCACAAAAGGTTCTTTGTGGCGAAAGAAGGTTCTTCAGATTATAAAAAGATAAGAAAGAGATGGTTCTTTAAAGAACCTTTGACTGAATGGTTCTTTGTGGAACCAAAAATGGTTCTTCTATGGCATCGCTTGAAGAACCTTTTGAAGCACCTTTATTTTTAAGAGTGTACCACAAGCGTTATACACACAGGGACTGCATTCCATGATTAAAATAGCTCATTTCAGGGATAAATGTATATTTTTTATTATGGTTCGATTGTCAGATCAATGAGAGCTGAAAATAACACGAGGAATATTTTTGTGCCCTGAAACTAAAATGTAACTTTTTTTTTATGCTGATCTAATGTGCATAAAACATTTGAACTCAAGACATTTAAATTAAAAGTGTCCAAATCAGTCAGTCCAAAATGTTTTAGAAATATATGAACTGTATGACTGAATACGTTTTGTTGTTGTGGTTTTGACAAAACTCTGTATAAAACTTTATAAAAGTGAATAACTTATAACCCCTGTTATATAAAGCATCTTTTATATATAATTCATAATTTTTTTTTAAATTACTATGATCCCACATAAGTACCTGAAGACTCGAGAGATGAACTAATCAATTCTCTTTCCGGCTCAGACTGCATTGGTTAAAGCTTATGAGGCTGTCACATGATGAACGAATGTCTCGGAAAAACCTGAAGACTCGAACCAGGTGAACTACTTGACTAATTCCAGTACAGAACCTATATGATGTTGCGCATGCGCGACTGAACGAATCACTCCCCGAGACGACTCGTTCTTCCCGAGTCACATTAAAGTTTCGTTCAAAACGAATGAATCGTTCAAGAACGACCCAACACTAATTGGTAATAATAAGAAATGTTTCTTGGGCATATTAGATTGATTTTCTAAAGGACCATGCGACACTGAAGACTAGAGTAATGTCTATGGAAAATTCAGCTTTGTCTTCACAGGAATAAATTACATTTTAATATATTTAAATAGAAAACGGTTGTTTTAATTTGTAATAATATTTCTGTTTTTACTGCATTTTTAAATAAGTGCAGTCTGGGTGAAAAAAGGCATTAGAGCATAAGAGAATTCTTTAAACCCTCTATAATCAATAGTATATCAATAGTTACAATACAAAATCATAACACTATAGATAAAGAAAGAAGAAGAAAAATAAAAAAAATCACACAAATACAATCAAATTCAAATCACAGTTTGAACACAAGTTCCACTAACTATGGTGCGACACGACTA